CAAACCAGCTCTTCAACACACAGAATAGAAACATGGCAGAACTAGTGAAGTAGTTCCTAAACAAAAAAAAAAAAAGAGATTATGAAGGAAACGTGTCATCTGCAGATACTTCTTTTAATGAAACATCAAAATAATTGAACCATTAAACAGGTACAAAGCAAAGCAGAAATTAAAATCTGGTAGATGGCCTCCAACCGTTTCCTGCACTGTTCCTGTTGTGGTTGTTTTTCTTTAAGTGAAGAACACGTACAAAAAGGTGAAGAGGGAGGCAAGACACAAGTGCAGGGTGTAGCCAGCTGAAAGAGAGGGTTGAAAGGGGAAAAGATGGGCTCACTCTGGTGGGTTTAGAGTCACCTGGCTTTGCTTGTGCTGTTGTTGTGAAGCTAGCTTAATACAAAACCCGTCTGAAATAGAGGGAGTTTGATGTTGCGAGGGCTGAGTCTGCTTCATGTGGCTTTGGCGGTGTAACAAGTCAGCCTGGTAGTATTCACATTCTTACACGTCGAATAAAGCCACTTGTCCCCTGGTGTTTAAAAGTTAGTGTATTTGCAACTCTGCTACACTGAGTTGTCCCCTCGTGATCCACTTTGTTCTCCTGATTTATTGTGTGGGGAAAATGTGTCCCTTTAGCCCACGCACGCTGCACCATGCAGCCTTCTCCTTGGAGATGCCCAAAATAACCATCTACGCTATTAGGACAAAAAAACCTCACCCATTGCCTTTGTTTCTGAACATCCATCAGCGCTGGTGTCACCTAGCCCTGCGGGGAAGAGGGACCATGGCTTAGCTCCATAAAGATATTGTCTTTCTTGGGACCTTTGTTTGTCCCTTGGACCTCCTCTGGCTCTACATGCCCAGGTTTGCCTTTCCTCCCAGGAGCCATCAGCTGTGGAGCAGACCAGCACGGGGCAAATCTGCTAGGCTGTCCTGTCACGGTGGCTTCAGAGACACTCAGAAGTAGAAATAAAAACACACAGGGATGCGTAAAAAGAAAAGACACACTTTTACAGGCAGGTTATGCCCATCTGTCAGTGCTGACCCATGACTTTACTACTGAAGTCTCCTCTCTCTGCTGCCCAGTGACCCGCTATTGCGTTGGCCGCGCTGGTTAGAAATCATATGGATGTTTCACAGGTGGCATCTTAGGTTTTCAAATTTTGGGTAGAAGTCAGGTAGTTTTTCTTAAGCACTGACTGAAAGAAGGAATCCTTCCATTATTACTTGTTGATATATTCAGTATATAACCCTGTTTGTTTTTTTTTTAAATTGCTTGTAAGTTTATTTGGTATATTCATTCCTGTTTCTTTGCCTTACATCTTTAGAGAGTCTTCGACCAGATGAAATTATCTCATTTTTAGTGCTGTTACTAAGTATCTCCTCTGTGAGGAGATGTGTCTAACCTTATTTAAAGGATGTGTCTGATCTTATTTTATATGCTTGTTTATTTTAAAGAATGTATTGTATATGTCTAAAACAAAGTTAGTATTGAAATAGTAACATGCAGCACACCTCTCTAAATGTTATAGCTGTGAAGACTGGGATGCAGTTACATTCCTAACAGTGGGTTTTGGAGATGGTTTTGGAAGGTGACTGCCTGAAGTTCTTACTATTATGTCCTTGCCTTCACATCAGATGGCATTCAGCGACAGGTATAGGGACAGTACTATAGTTAATTTGCCTCTTACTCATGTAGTATTTTTACTAATTTTCAGACCATGTAGCAACAGAAACAATAGCAAATGAAATCATTATGGAAGGAGTTATACTAGTTCAAAGAACTACATCAGAGCTTTAAAACTGAAAATGAGTAGATAAGACATTCTGTAGTTTTCTTTGTTCTGTGATTTACATGTATATATTGCAATGAGTTCATCCTTTTTTAGTACCTCAATGCTGTAACATTTTAATTGGTCTCTATCTCCCTCCTTATTATCACTAGTAGAGGGATATAGCCCTATCTTTCATCTGTTCAAACTCAGCAAAGCTGGAAACAGATATTTTGTTAAAATTCCTTCTGGTAAATTAATTTCTATCTGCATTGCCCTGTGACCTTTTCATCCCCACCAAGAACATTTCTGAAGACTGCAGAATGTGAAAGTACAGCTTGTGCTTTTGACGTTGAGTTAATTTTAAAAGGAAAACAATAATGAATAACTGATCAAACAATAGAATGTATCTTATTGCTTGTTGTTACCTGAAGAAACTGTTAGGTGCAATTAAGTTAAAATCTGTATGTTTTCTTGAGAGAACTATGCCATGAACATTTTTGTTACCACTTTTTAATTACTTTCACAGTTTACATCCTGCCTAAGTAGGCTAGGTTCTGAGATATTTTTTTTTACCCTCATGTAGCTTTTTTTCCAACTGGTTCTGTTACAAAGCATGTCTCTAATGAGAATGGCACTGTCGGAGACAGTGGTATCTAATGGAGCGGCTGTCCACAGCTCCTGGCTCCGTGGGACAGCAGCCGCTGTGAGGAAGCATTTCCCCAGAGCCTCCCAAGTCTTCTTCCATCTTCTGTCATGCCTTCTGCAGAAACCATTGGAACGTGTTTTCTATAACAAATAAACAAACCACAGGAGGGTTGAGTGAAGTGTCCTCTAAATAGGGTGGTAATTTAAGATTACTTAGAAACTTCAGTTAATACGGAACACAGCTTTGTGTTTGCTTAGCCAGGCTAATTGCAGGGAGCTCGTTACATCGATGTGCTTAAACCAGCATGTCCCATGTCGTTAAAATTTCACCGTTTTCTGGATAAATGAAATTTTAAAGCTACTGCTTAGCAGTTTGGATCTTTTGTTCTTGAGAGAAGTCCTGTGCCTCTGCCCTCGTGCTCCAGTTCAGCATGGTGGAAGCCTGCCTGAGTTGGTCTGCTGCTGTGGGTAAGGCTGGATGCTTGGCTCTGCGATGTACCGTGCTCTCTGGTCAAACAGAGATTGTCCCAGTCGTATTGCAAGAGCTGCCCTGACACAGGGTGGTGGGGTTTGTGTGGCAGTGACTTTAAAAGATAAGGTCTACGGCTTTGGGGAATTTCTCAGTTTGCACTGAATTTGTTTAGGTTTATTGACATACTTTAAAATGAATTTCTGTGCATTGACAGCATGGTTTTCAATGCTTTTTCACAGAACCTTACTGAAATTAGAGATGGAGAAGACACACTGAATCAAGTGCTTCTTCTTACGTCAAACTTGTCATGTGAAATACGTGAAGTTTTCTGACAGTGTCTTCTGTGAACCCTACCTGTTGTGTGAAATGAAAGGGAATGGAGCGGCTTTCATCCTAAGCAGTGGTTACTGACTGAGGTCCAGCTCCTGTCATCCTGTTGATACTGTGTAATGGCTGTAGTGTAACAAAAGTACTCCTGGAGTAAAGTGTTGCTTAGAGTTTTTAAGAATTCTGCTAGAAATAATGAGGAAATCAGGGAGAAATACAGGGGAGTCCACATTGCAGACCCAAAACCAGAGCAGTATCTATCTGTAGTAGTGGCATTACAGTGATTGGTACAATTTTTCTGATGAAAAATATGTAAATTTGATTATTTCTCATGCAAGAGAGTTAACTAGCTAAGCATTTTTCTCCTCTAGCTTTCAGTAAAAAGCTTTTACATGACTTGAGTTTGCTTCTGCTTGGTTTGCATCTTTTTTTCTGTTATCTGTGACTGAACAAATACCACTCAGTCTGTTTTGTGGAAATTGCAGGTTTCCAGGGAGTGTTAATAGATATTTGCAGATTTGAGGAGTGGGACCCAAGTCAGATATTAGATTTTAGAAAACAAGGTCAAGCAATGAGCAAGCTCTCATCCTATTTGATTTTCAAGTTCTGATACCTGCAGCAAAAGCTTGCAGTCTGCAGAGCATGAGGCTTGGAAAGTGTTTGTTAAAAAGTTCACGAAGTGTGAATTTGAAAAAGGGTGAGCTTTTGCTGATAGTTCACAAACCGAAGACAGAGCTAATTTTGCAACAAATTGTTTTGGCTGCTAGGCATAGCACAGGCATCCTTCAGAAGGAAAATGACCGAGTCAGATTTCACATTGAACTAATGGTAAATGAGGTGCCAGGCCACTTAAAGATTGTCAGGTTTCTAAGAAGTGGAAGGGAAGAAGTTGGTGGTAATCACAACTGGCCACTAGAAACATTTGCAGTTCAGCGGTTGATGCCGCGGGCCTTGCGGCAGCAGCAAATGGTGCGCCAAAACCAGGGGTCAGTTTCTTGCTCTGTTGCTTGTGCAAATTATTTGGGATAAACTCTTTTACCACAGAAGAGGATGTCCAAATCTGCTGTTTCTGAAGATAAATATTCTCTCCTCTCTTTCCACTGTTCTGAAACGTAGGGGTCTGGTAAAAGAGTCTCTTGCAGAGCAGTGGTTTTCTCTAGTGTGTATGTGCTTCACTGCATGTAAATAAATGTAACAAATGCAAATCAAAATCCAGTGAAACTGTATGGAACTGACAAGGAATATTTGGGTGTCCTGAGTCATGCAGTGAAAATGAAAGGTAGTTTCAAATTAATTTTCAGACTTGAGTTTGAACTTGGGTGAAGCAGTCACATCTGTGTTACCTGTTACCTGATCTTACGGAAAAGCTGTTCTGTTAATCAGTGCTTAATGTATTTATTATAGGCATGCACTTGTGTTTTGCCTTCATCAGAACAAATGTTTTTCTTAGGTGTACTTGAGGCATGTGTTCCCCATGTCAATTTATTTGCCGTTTGAAATGTTTCATTTCTCTCCGATAAAACCTCATTAATAGCCTCCTAGTGTATAAAACGGGTATTATTTTTTAAGGTTTACAAGAGATTCCTACTTGTTTTTAATACATTACGGTATATTATCAGCATTGTCACTAGTTGTCCACATTGCTGGTTCGCTGAGAGGAGTGTTTGATGCTAATCTGTGAAGTGCTTTTGAAGAAATGTCTGGTGATATAAACATTAAACCACTTACAGTATTTTCAGAATAAAAAAAACCCAACACTTTTTTTTTTAATATTTTTTATTTTAGTACATGCATCATGAACGAATCTGCCTCTAGTGGAAATGGTCAAGAGTTTGATGTATTTAGTGCTATGGACTGGAAGGATGGCATAGGTACTTTGCCAGGAAGTGACCTAAAGGTAAGATATGTAATTTTTTTAATTGGTGAAATAAAAATGTTAAATGCCAAAATAATGCATTTCAAAATCTGGTGTGTAGGTATCTGCTTTTATGAATAAAACATGAACCTGCAGCTCCGAGTTAAGAGACTGTAGCATGTTAGCTTTTAGCTCTGGAGTTTCTTGATTCAGTTTCTGGTGCTGGCACAGACAGCCGTCATCCCCGTAGGAAGGCATAAATTAGCGCTGCCTTGCTATATAGACAGTTGTAATCATGTGCAAAAAATCCGAAAGAAATCTCGAAAGTTAAGTGTGAAAATTCACTGCACTTAGAGCATTGTATTACGGTATCACTGAGAATCTTTATACTGTCATTGACTCTCACGGTCTGATATTCTTAGTTCTTTTAATTTCTAAAAATAGTTTATTTTTGCTGTGCTTTTGTCATGTGGGTGCCTAGAAAAGTGAATGAAGTGAGTGCTTCTGAGTTTGGTATAGTTTAGAAATTGGAATGATACGGGGATAGTACTTTTAATTACATTTTTCACACTGTTTGTGTGAAACAAACAGTTTACACTGAAGTAAATTATAACAATTTTATTTTGTTTTCAAAGTATTTAACATATTTTGTTATCTGATACTTTTTACTGTGTTGTCAGAACATGTCCTCTGCGGCGTTAGCTAAAAATACAGTTTCAATATTAGAGACTTTCTTGCACCTATTTCCTGTTGCTTATAGTCAGTATTTTCATATAATTCCATTTAGATTAACATTGATGAGGTTTTCTCATAGTTTTTTATTTTTTAAAAGGAAACTCAGAATACATTTGTGTTTTTAGAAGAAATCGGTGCCTGTTATGATTTCTATTGTTTCTATAGAATAGATGGACAAAATAATTCTCATTGGAAAGGACCTCACGACACAACCAAATCCATACTGCACAAGGCCCTGAGCAACCTGATCTAAGTCAGCCAGCGGTGCTCAGTGGTGATCTCCAGCGTTGGAGATACCCCAGTAATCTCTCTGGGCCACCTGTTCCAGCATTTGACCACGCTCACAGTGACTTTCCCCTTTATGGATACTTTGTTGGGATTTTCCCAACAGCTTGTGCCTGTTTTCTCTTGTCCTTTCACTGTCCACACCTGAGAAGAGCCTGGATCCATCCCCTATGTGTCTTCTATTAACTACTGGAAGACAGCAGTAAAATCTTATCTTCTGTTCTTAAGACAGGGCAAATAAGTTCACTCAGCTTCTCCTTGCGTGTCATCTGCTACAGCCCCTACTGGTTTTGGTGGGCATCACTACCCCTGCTCCAGTATGTCAGCCCTTCTTGTCCTGGACACGGTAGTCTGCATGTGGTCTCATCAGTATTAAACAGTGGGGAATAATCCGTTCCCTCGACCTGCTGGCTACCCTCTTGCTAACACAGCCCTGGATGCTTGTGGCCACCTTTGGTGCCGGGGCACGTTGCTGACTCGTGTTCAGCCCTTCTGGTCTTCTGCAAAGCTGCTTTCAGATGGCCTCTGGGCTGTACGCGGCTGTTCTGTCCCAGGTGCAGGGCCTTGTGTGTGCTTTGTAGACCTTCATGAGATCTTGTTAGCCCACTTCTTCAACTTGTCAAGATCTTTGAGTAGCAATGCTGCCCTTCACTGTATCAGCTAGTCCCTCCAATTTGGTAATTTGCTTTTGCTTCCTGTACCAGTATGCCTGTACAAAATGGCTTTCTTGTTATCTTTGCTAGTTTCTTCTCCAGCTGAGCTCTGGGTTTCCTAATTCCATCATTGTACACTACAGCAATATCACTACATACCTCCTCTATATAACATTTCCCTTGTTTCACCTTCTGTGTACTTCCTTTTCCATTTGAACTAAGTCAGGAGTCCCTAGTTCATTCATGTTGGCCTTCATCCACGTTTGCTTAACTTCTCCTAGTGTGAAGTCCCTGGAGGGATATCTAAATTTCCTGGGCCCATTTACCCACTAAAGCATTCTTTCATATGATCCTGCCAAGCAGATCTTTGAACAAGCCAAAATCTGCCTTTTTCCTGAAGTCCAGTGCTGCTATTTGTTTTGCCTGCTTCTTTCAGGATTTCAGACTTCACCATCTCATGGTTACTGCTGTCAAGGCTAGCATCAGCCTCCACATCCCTGAGCAGTTCATTTTTTTAAGAAGTCCAGGCTTTAAAAATACCTTTCTGTTTCAATAAGCAACATTGTGTGAAAGGCAGAACTAATATTGAAATGTTTGGGGAATGCAAAAGGGAACAGTGCAGGAAAATATAATAATCTCATACAAATCCCTGTTACGTGTTTTGTTCAGTTCTGATTACCTTATGTCAAAAGAAACCAAAAAACCAAAGCAAAGGTTGGGTCATTAATTAGTGGAGGAATGGGAAAGCTTCCATACAAAGTGAGGAAGGTGTAGCTGAGGGTAAGTTCAAGAAATCATGTAAGAAGATTCTTATCTATGCCTGGGTCAGGAAAGCATGAGTTTCATTTAAGGTTGCTCTTCTGTGTTGTGGTGGGTTGGTTTTTGTTGTTGTTTGTGGTTTTTGTTTGGTGGTGGGGTGTTGGTGTTTGGTGGGGTTTTTTGTTGTGTTTTTTTTTTTAAACTAACAGGTATTTGATTTTTGGACAGGGATTCTTTCTTTGGTCCAGGCATTAGGGAAGACACAGAGGTGTGATGGTAGCATACCCAGAATGATGAAAGATACAGAGAGTATTGGCCAGGCAGTATATTCTCGTCTTGGGTTTTTGTTTTTTGCTTTGAATACAAAAGCAAGGGATTACTGGATGAAATTGAAATGATACTATTTTAACACTGACTGAAAGAAGACTATTTTCTAACAATACAGACTTAGCCTGAGGAGCTTACTGGACCAGGGAGCATGAAGATTCAGCGAAGGAGTAGGTATTCATATAGATACCAAAACAATTTGAACTGTTAGAGTAGTAAGGATTTTTAAGGTTTTGAGGTAATTGTAACAACTCATTTTTCAAGACTGCTTCTAAATACTGATGGCTAAAAGGGTGACTAATCCTTTGAAACTGTAAATGTGATCGTGGAAGATAGGTTATGCTCTTTGTGGAATTCTCGGAACAGGGTTAATGTGGATGGTTTATCTGAACTGTTCTGATAGCAAAGTATTCTAATACTGTGTCCCAAACCTAAGAATATGGTCTTACATAGAAGTTAATTCTTGCATGTATGTTTCAAAAATTATAAAGTCAGTTCAAGTTTGATCAAATCAATTTTTAATTTGAACAATTTTGATCAATTACTCAATTTTCATCAGATCAAAATTCAGTGATAAGACTTCCACTAAAGATATCAAACTATTGCCATATATCTACATTGAAATGCCATTGAAAAAATCAGGTGAAAACAACTTAATAGCAAGATGGACAAATCCAAAGATTCTGGTTTTACAACTTGGTTATAGATCAGAGTGTCTGGGGTTTTTTTGTGGGTGGGTTTCTTTTTTTGTTTGGTTGGGGTTTTTTAATAATAAAATAGAAGGAGTAGCTGAACTATTCTTTGCAGACAATGTATTGCTTACATTCTCACGTTTAATCTTTTTGTCTTCAAAAAATGTTGGGGAAAAATGTCCTTGAACACTCAGACTTGGTTAACTATATTGTATGAGTATGTTTTAAGTTAAATGTATACAAAAATGTTGAAATACTGCTTTTTAATATAGAAGTTTTGGGGAGTCACCTGCCTGAAATCCTTATTTTTACTCGTGTAAGTCACATGGCATTTGCTTGTCTTTTACTACTTGCGTGATGAAATTACGTATTTACTTTTACATATGCACTTTCAAAAAAATCTCTTTTCTTGTGTGCTATATTATTATCCAGCCTCCTCAGATTATCAGGCAATTATATCTGAGCAACCATTCTTTTTAAGAACCACTTCACTTTTGTGAATATAAGTTCCTCTATGACTAAAAGCTGTTAAGAACCCTGTTGTAAATAGTGTAAAATACTTGAAACGTTTAAAAATAACTTTTCTCAATTCTTATCATTGCTTAAATTTAAGTGTTCATATGATATAGAAATTTGGAACAAGAAATCACATTATTTCTTTTTGTTACAAAGTCCTGTGGGCAGTTTCATGCCTACCAGACTTAACTGAGAGAAACTGCATCAAGGGGAGGACACTCCTGATCTAATGAAAACAAGGGAGCCAAGTCAGATACCAAGCTTCTGTTCTCAGCCATGCCATGGTCTCTTGTGTCTACACCTGTTTCCACACTGGTAAAATGCCGAGAATGTTCTTTTACTATGATTTTGTGCCATGTTAATTGTTAGAGTTTTGTCACCCGTAGTTGGAAAAGACTGTGGAAATATGTACTCAAACAGATTTTGTTAAAACTCTTTAGCAAAAGTAGTCATAAAATAGTTAATGCTACTTGAATGCTGCTTTGACCGTGTGGTGTGACAGAAAAATAGTGAGTGGTTGTGGAAAATGCTAGAATTACAAATTGTACCGGGGACAGGGAGAATTAAAAATTGTACAGTGTGTTGCACTGAAGACTAAGAACAAAAATTTTAGCATTGTATATTAGTTCTTTCAGGATGTTTAAATAAAACAGAAAACTTGAATTCCAGTAGAGTTTAAAATAGTTTACAAATTGCAGAATGCCTTCATGTGGCAGGCTAAGTAATGTATGCTCATCTGAAAAACATCAGTGCTTACCAGTTACTCTGCATGGTGTGAATGTAAATGTGAAATACTCTTTTTCTCTCTCTTTTTTTAAAAAAAAAAAAAGAAATCTCTGTGCTGAGTGCAGGCAGTAACACCATCACTTCAAGATTTAAATGTACTCATTAAATTGGAAAAGCTGTAATAATTTACAGTCACTTCCTACTGCAGTGACAGAAGTTTATGAAGTACTTCGTAATGAGTTTCCTCGTGCTTGTGTTTGGAAAATGAGCTGTTATATAGTGCACGGATGGAATTCTGGTCATTATTTCCAGCTTGCAAATTGTGCTTGAACAGAAAAAAAATACAAAT